GAATAGGCTTTCATATCCTAGGAGTTGTCTTATGGAGTTTAAGACTATTTTCCATAAAAGTGTACACAAATTATATTGGAAGTATTTCTATAAAGAACATGTAATGAAATATGTTTCTCAACTGGTACAGGTAATGTACTTTTAATCAAATGAGTAAAATGTGTCAATATCCATTTTCTAATAAACAATAAAGAGGCCAATAAAAAAAAAAGTTCTCTTACTACTGTGATCAGAGACGTTGGTTTGAAGCGCAATTCTGAGACTGTTCTGTCAACAGTTTTCTAATACATACAGCAACTTATGATCAACCCATATTAATTAAAGGCTTGAAGGACTAGTCTTTAGAATCCAGTGGCATCTTGTAGTTAACTGAAAGCCAAACCAAACACAAGCTGTTTTTATCCACTTTGTTCCAATTGATCTTCTATAATTATGCACATTGGAAAAACAGAAAATTGGCCCGTTCAGTTTTTGGGTTAAAACGGATTATACTTTAATACCCCGACCAGGTCACAGAGTCTAATTTGTCTAATGCTACCATGAGTTCATCTCAAAGTCCCATTACTACTGTCCGACTATTTTCAACCACATCTTCTCATTGGAGGGAATTTACTTTGATATTCTGTCAGTGACCACTGACCTCCTCCTCCTTCCACTGACACTGACTGTGAGATGTGGTTGCATTTTTGGGATACCGCAATGGACTTTTAGAGGGGTTTTATTGGCTTAAGATGTAGGACATTTTAATCAACCAGAGGATAAACCCCTGGGTTATGTAAAATGAAGGAAAGAAGGAAAAACATTGGGAAAAAACGTCTCAATAATAAGGTTTACCTGTCTGAAATGTTTGTAAATATGTTCATGCAGAACTTTTAGCTCACTTCACAAATCAAGTTTGGAATTCATCACAGTGCAGAAATATTGAGTCCAGTTTAACTATTATTCATTTTCAGGCAAAGACAAATTGTACCTGTAATCAGGACGTTTGGTTTTACGTTTTGTTGCTGTGCCACAATTTCTAGTAATAATGGGAATGATGAAGAGCAGCAGTCTAATGCGCGAAATCTGGCTGCTTGGATTATTTTTGAGGGTACACCTGCAGCACAACAGACTTATGAGGACATCAGCATAGATACTGACTTACTAATTTATTTAAAATGAACCCATTTATTGTAATAATGATTACAAATCACACCTACTATTTGTCTGTATCAAACACGTGTTGGTGTTTAAAGCACAGTCTCACAGATGGCCCAGCAGGTGCATCACACACTCACAGGACTCCAACATTAGAGCAGTTTGATGTCTGTGATTAACTATATCATATTTCCACAGGAGCAGGAGGCTGTAAATAGGTGGTAATGTGAGGCAGTAAATGTCTGAGGGACAGACGGACACTGACAAGAACACACACAAATACACACACACATTCTGTTCTACCACACTAATTGACACACTGCATTTGTTCCCTAGCCCGAAGGCAAACCTGATTCTAGCCTCAACCCTAAAAATGTATTAACCCTAAAAATTAAGTGAGGTCCAGAGAAAATGTCCTCAATTATCAAAACGTCTGAAGGTCAAAACTCTGGTTCTCATAAAGACTACAGCACACACACACACACACACACACACACACACACACACACACACACAAACACACACACACGAACAGGGACTTACTGTATTGAAGTCTGGGAGGAAAAAGCCTCAAAGCTGTATGGCTGATGTGACTGGGTCACCACACACACACACACACACACACACACACACACACACACTTACACAAACAACAAATGAATCCAGACAAACTGGGACACAGTCACACATCAGGTGAAAACCTTGTATCTCCATTATTTCACCTCTTTGTGAACTATAGGAAGTGGGGCGGTTGTTAAGCACAGTGTAGACCCAAAGCCTTGTGCGAATCAGTTAGAAGAGATCCAAAGCATATGACAGCTTGCAGCGTGTGTACCAACACTGTACAGTGATGACTGTGTGTGTGTGTGTAACGTGCCTAGAGCTGACAGTGTGTCGCTGGTCGGCAAGCACATTAAATACTGAATGAATGAGAGGAAATACAGATAACCGAGTAAAATGACCTGAAAGTCAGAACACCCCCGTCTTCACAACTTCAGCTAGCAGCCTGGAGACTGCAGGGCTTAAATTAATGAACATTTACTCCAAACTAACTGACACAATGTTAAATTAAAGCTGCAAACAGCGAAGATTGGGCCCTCGCAGCCCACACGTGTAGTGTTGTGCTGCGGTCACCTCATGCACCAGCATGTCATGTGTAAAAGAATTCCCATAAATCAGATCAAAATCTCCACACAAGACTTACTCCCTGTTTGCCACTGTGACTATGACTGACTATTGGCATGTGGATCTGGTCAGGGCAGGACTCAAATGCATGAAGTTTGGTGGAGATATTTGCTTGGAATATCCCCCAAATGAAGATAGTTGAACTCAAAAACATTATTGTGGCTCATTAGTAAAGCACTGAATAGAAATATCAAAGGTGGCAAAAGAAAGCAATGAATTGTTTTATTCCCAAATTTAATTTTTTTTTCCAAATGCATGTGTTCATTAAACGTAACTTAGTCTAACATGTAGCAGAATAGATTTCCTTTTTTTGTAATACTTATTTTTCACCATGTAGCGACGTATGGTAGAGGCTCACATTAAAAACACTGTGGGGTCTTTGAAAACATTGATTGTTGTATTATTGCCCCCAGGAAATATAAAAATATAATTCCATTGCTTTTGTCTTCGTTAGAGGCATATGGAAAATATTCCTCGTGAATCTTGACTGAAAATAGTCTCACTAACACACACACTTGCACACACACAAGAGTTACGATTGTGATACAGTGAGTGTATGGCAATGAGATGAATGGAGACCATGTGAATCATGGGTAAACAGCACCCTCTTGTGTTGAGAGAGGACACGACAAGTGATTTCTGTTAAAGGTTCATTACTGTAAGACAAATGTTTATCTGCAGGCTCATTCCAGTCTGACGGGAAGCAGGGGGAAAAAATCGAATTGTTATTATTCCTCCCTTTTCTTTCTCTCTTTTCTCCTTCTTAATTGTTTTCTCACATTATATTGTTTTTTTTCTTCCTTTTTACACATATATTTTATTTTTTCTACATATTTTTCACTTGTTATTCTCTTGTTTTACTTGCACCTCTTTCTTTTCTTTCTTTCATATTTTCATTCTTCTCAGACACACTCTTGTGTACCGAAATGTTCAGACCAGATTGAGAAACACGCCCTCATGTGCAGGAAATGTGTGCACCATTCACCCTCCTCCTCCTTTTACACACACACACACACACACACACACCCTCTCTTCTCTCTCTCTGGGTCTCTGCTGAACTAGAGTAACCTCTCTCCCTCTCTGCTCCGGTTTTTGAGGAAAGGCGTGTGTGTGTGTTGCTGCCAATAGGTCTGAAAAGAGGATTCTGCTTCTCTCTCTCCCAGATGTTCGTTCTGCTCTCTCTCTCTCTCTCTCTCTCTCTCTCTCTCTCTCTCTCTCTCTCTCTCTCTCTCTCCCCCCACAGTTTGAGGCGTTGCTATGAATCAAACCAAATATTCCTCCTGACAACAGATGCCTCTCCTCCCTCTCAGCTCCTCTGTGTTCTCACATCATCGCAAACTGACAGTGATCACAGTAGATCAGCAGACCCACTTCTCACACATGCACACACACAGACACACATACACACACACACACACACACACACACACACACACACACCCCAAGAGAGTAAATATGACGTATGTGTTGTCAAACTGGTGGAGGTGTTTCATTAATTTGCTTGCGTTCTCTGAGGTTTGAGCCCTCTCAGCCGTTGTACGGAGGACCTCCCTGCATGCATCTGTACTCCCCACGTTTTCAACATCTTACATATTTTATGGTGGGAAAAAAGGATAGGTGTTACTTCTAGGTAGTGTTGGGCACTAATTTATTTCAATAAAAATTTAATTTTCAATTTAATATGCTTTCAGTGGCATGAATGTTAGAAACAATTATTGCCAAAGCGTTCATAATCTGAAAAAAACAGCATCAAATAACGATTCTAAAAAAACAAAACAAAATACAGTCTTATTATTTTTATTATTATTTTAATATCTGTCCCTCAGTTTGTGACATGCTGTCATATATTGTGCCTCTATGAATTCTGATACAGTTCTTAACATTTGTTTAATATAAACATTTATTTGCCATTCTAAGTTAACATAAGCCAATCCTATAACAGTGACACTGCTTACCTTCAAATACATATATTTTAAAAATTACTAGGGAATCCCAAATATGTTTTTTCTTGATGGCAATAGACACAGACAAAAAAGACTTTCTGCATTGATTACCTTTGACCTCGCAGACCGACTCGTATCAGTAAATCTCAGTAGACACTCTAGTAACTGGTAAATGATGAACTAATGAATTTCAGTAATAATATTACAGTCACACCCCCTACTGATTTGAAATCCAACAATACAATCACATCCCTGGATTCATTTTTGTAATTGTAAAAGTTGTTTGAAAGATTGTGTCTCGTCATCAGTTTGTCTTTTCATCCGGCCTGTAACTTTTATGGATTCAGAAGCTGCAGAAAAGAACCTGCTCGTTTAAAGCTTTAGCTGCAATTACATTCACACAGAGGCGAACATACAATGTCTGAATTTGGGGAGAAAGGACGCAGTTACCAATTTTGTGGGTTGCAGCAGAAAAGTAATATAACTAGAAGTGTAACTAATTACTATTGGCAGGGAGTAATAAGTAAAGTATCATTACTTTTGAACAGAGTAACAAGTAAGGCATAAGAAATAACAAGCCCAACAGTGCTTCTAGGTAGAGTTAATTTTCTCCCTGATTTGGCGTTTTATAGGTCAAAAGATGTCATAGTTAAAACATTTAAATGACTATTTTTGCTGTGAAAATCATTGGTTTCCTAACAAACAACATTTATAAGGAACTTATGATGTGTTTTCTTTCACTTTTTATTGAAATGTAGGCCAGTTTCTTCCTAGACATCTTTCAAAAATACAGAAAAAGGCATGTTTAGATTCTGCAGTGTCTTGGCGTCCATTGCCTAATGCAGTTTCAGAAGAGTTGGAACTCAAATTGATTCTTAAAGGTCCAGAGTGTAGGTTTTAGTTTCATCTAGTGGTGTAATTGCAGATTGCAACTCCTTCGCTTCACCTTTCTTCCAAACATGAAGGGGGAACAATGAAAAGAGCCAGTGTATGGTTTGTCTGTTCTGGGCTACTGTAGAAATATGGCGGTTCAACATGGTGGACATTACAGAAGGTTACCTCCAGCGTCTGTAGATATAAACAGCTCATTCTAAGGTAACAAAAACACAATGATTCTTATATTCAGCTGATTATACACTAATGAAAACATACCTATGAGTATTATATTCCATTACTGACAATAGATCAGGAGTGGCCAACCAGTCAGAGACTAAGAGCCACATTTTTTACTGTGTTACTGCAAAGAGCCATATCATACACACTTTTTGAGACCCTCCCTGCGTGGGGACTCCTACCCTTTGCTGAAAATGTGTAGTCCCCAGGCCTAAAGAACAAAGCATGCCACATAGTCCATATAACAGTGCCATGCCATGCCTGTTGTCATCTTTCACCAATACCGACTTTAAGTGTGTCAGATTAACACTCTGGTCTAGTAGTTAGGATTTGGTGCTCTCAATGCTGTGGCCCGGGTTTGATTCCCGGTCAGGGAATGTGCTTTTCGTACACACTTCAGGTCCAATTCCGAAATAAAAACCACTTCACTCTAGCTAGGCTAAGCGAGCTAGCTACGCGAGAGGTCTCCTCACAGCAGCAGTTACCGACGGAGGAGTCGAGCCTTCGTTGCCTCCGTCATGGCACAAATTAAAAGGTTCACATCAATGCCGATCCGAGGTGAAGCCGATTAATATCGGGTGTTAACGGGTTTATATAGGTTTTTTGGGCAGTGTGAAAGGGGCTATACACAACACCAAATTCTATATGAACGTAAGAGCCGCATGAAACCAGGCAAAGAGCCGCGGGTTGGCCAGGCCTGCAATAGATCCTCCTCAGTGTTACACACTGGATGATTCTTGCCTAACCTGAAGATCTTTCATCTTGCTATATAAACCCGTTTTTGCCTACAGAGAGTGAGGAGGCATAGGTTTGGTGTCTGGCCTATTACGTGGATGAAATCATTAGCTTTTCTTGTACAGGACCATCTGTAGGATTATGGTGGAAAACCCGGAGGCAGGGTTCTGTTTTCTTTTTCTTTTTTGGTAATTTTTCTCCAGGAGTGCCCAGACTTTAAAAAGTTGTGTGGGTCAGCAGCTTTTGATGCTTATGCGGGTTAAAAATACTGCAGTGTTTCCTCTCTGCCAACCGGTGCTAGTCTGCTCAGCTTCTCCTCAGTTCCAGAACACTCACATTCAGAGTCTTCATTCATAATGACGAGTCAGTCTGCAACCAGAAAATAGTTTCAGATTGGTCAGTGTGTGTGACAGTGACCACTTTACCATAGCATTGTATTTAATCAGTAACATTTCCTGTTCTTTTAAACAGTAGTGTAGTGAGGGAGCAAGTTACCTCCAACCTTACAGTACAGTAAAAGCTGCCATTGAGTTTAACACAAATGTATTCAGTCAGCATTTTTGAGTGATATCAAATCCTTTAGTTTACTAGTTTACTATACCTTTTTTCAAATAACAAAAGAAGACATATCCTCAAACTTTAAAGCTATAATATGTAATATTTCCACATTAAAATGTCTATAAACACTGGATCTATGTTCTATATGTAGTTGAGCTGCGTACTTCCAAAATGTTTGATCACCAGTCTGCTGACGTTAGCAGCAGCTCGGCTGGCAGCCCCAGCGGGACATCCTTTGTCCTTTGTGATTTTTAAGATGAAACTACTATTTTATGGTTTTAATCACCAGGTCTGCTTGTTTTGGAGAGGAGGAGACCTCTGCGGATAATTCGGCTTCTGGTAAAAATCTTTTGTTATTATTTTGATATGAGACCCCCTAGGGGCATAAATTACAAACTGTATGTTTTACTGTTTTGAAAACACAAATATCCATTTAAGAACTAAAATGGGCAGGATTATGAATTAAATCAAGAACTACTTGAGAATAAGTAACCATGGCGGTTTTTGATGCTATGGACACATTTCTGTCCTTATTGAGTATTGAGAATTGAGGCTAATTATAAATTAATGAGGAGCACCTGAACGCACCACTAGTTGTAGTCTGTGTAAGGCTCAGGGGTGGGAACTACAGTAAGTTTATTCAAAGAAGAGATCCTTCGTCTCCTGAAGGAGGCAGTTTAGAGAGAGTTTCAGAGAGGTTAGAGGTCAACCATAATGCTGTGCCCCCGGAGGGTTTGTAGAGGATTAATGCCTTGCTCAAGGACATCTGGAGAAGATACCTGCAACCCTCCAGTCTCTGCTGGAATACATCTAAGCATTGGTGCTGAAAATCACTCATTCATTCACTTACTCATTCATTCATTCAGTCATTCACTTATTTATTCATCCACCTCCTGACTCATGTGTTCGTTCCGCAGCTCTCAGGTCGTACCCTGGATGTGTTTGAAGAAGAAGCCCACAGCCCATCTGGTCTTGCATAACACTCCCATACTTCAACAGTGGCTGCTGCCTCAGCCTGCCGCCTTGATCCCCTATACGTAAACGATGAACACACAGGTTTGAATCCCAGCTCTCATGGCATTAAGAAAAAAAAAATCTGAACAGTAAAACATCAACGTGATATGTGTGTTTACTAGAGACTCTGCTCAGAGTTCAGACTGACCACGTGTCAAAACTCCCAGCAGGCTTTGTGTTTCCACATCAGGTGCACATGGCTGCAGAGAGGCTGGAGCGAGGGGCTGAGGCCCAGACGCCATTAAATCTGAAGCAAAACACATCTGCTGTTACAGTAACACACCACGCACGGACCAAACACAGCCTGAGCTCCGAAAACAAACAGAGCACCAACCTGACGGCTGGACCAATTTTAGAAAAGTTGATTCTTAAATAAATAAAAAAAAGAATAAATGTTTCTGCTGAACATGTTTTTTTCACAGCAGCAGTCTGCTTATCAGAAAAGGAAAAAGTCCAGCGTTACATTTATTTTGACCAAGGCACTGTTTCTGCAGTGAACTCAACTAATGGAGATTGTAGTTCATTCTGGGGAGGTTTTTGTTTCGTTGTATCACAAAGGCACTGAACAACAGAAACAGCAGAGTTCTCATCACAAGAATATAACATCTAAAACTGTCTTCAAGGCTTTTCCGGGACCTGCAGGAACACTGAAGCTGTTTTTAGGAAACCAGATGATCTCAACTTTACCAAAAAACCACACACACACACACACACACACACACACACACACACACACACACACACACACACACACTTACAGATCTGCGACATCAGGAGCTTTTGAGTTTCTTTATGTTCAGTGAGAGTTGGCCCGCAGCCCGGATCCTGTTTCTCACTAATTACGGACAGAAGTTAAATTGTAGCAGTGACGCAGAGTCTGCAGGGCCACAGTCAAGAAGGACTTATGGTACATCACTTCCTGTCACAACTGTCAAAACAAAAGTCTTACTGAGGGAGCTATACTATTATGGAGTAAACAAAAAAGAAACAGTATTGGGACTATTACAATAAAAAAAGATTCATAAAGTCACACATTAATGAATTTTAATAATTCTTAGCTTTTTCCAGAAATATTATATGGTATATAATATACTTGTGCTACAACTATTGTACAACTGACAACACTTTCACACAAACCAAACAACGCCTCTGTATAAGGCCTTTCATGTTTTAGGCAAATTTCAAGGCCAATGCAGTTTCTCCTGCACACTTGGAACAGGAAGGAGGTGAGGTATTTGCAATCTGCAACTTCACCGCTAGATGGCACTAAGTTGCAACTCACTAATTGTAGCTTACCTGGCAAGCGTGGAGAAAATATGTGAAAAACTACAGCCAGTGTTTGGTTTGTCCATTCTGGGCTACTGTAGAAACATGCCAGCCTCCTTAGAAAGACCTGCTGCGCCTGTAGAGATTTGAGTAAAACAAGCGATTTGAAGGAAAAAGTTTAAACATTCATATTTGTGTAGGCAATTTAAGAACTCACTCACGTGGGCAGGTGACCTGGTGGGTTTTAAGAGAAGAGAGAGGTTTTATAGATCTAAAGAATTTCTATAAAATCCAGACCAGGCCTCTAATCTCTTTATTTGTCAAAATGTGATTTGCAGTAAACTTTGAAAATAACAATTGATTTAGATAAAATATTTTTAAACTGAGCTGGTGAGGAAGGCCAGCTCGGTGATGGGGATGGAGCTGGACAGTGTGGAGGCTGTGACGGAGAAGAGGATGAGAGGGAAGCTGAAAGACATACACTGAGCTCAGGCAACTCAGGAGCACTTTCAGTTGCAGACTGACCCAGCCCTGAGCCTCAAAGTGGTTTGGAGGATCGTATATACCACCAGCCATCAGACTCCACAACGCCACGGCACCCAGTACCTGCCACCCCCGCTGACTAAGACTGGTTTTAATTCAACCAAACTTATATTATTTATCTTAAATTGCACTTAAATTGTACAGTTTAGTTTTTTAGTCAAGCTGCTTAAAATATTTTAAATTGCACACCATTGTACTTGCACATTGCTTATTGCTTATAGTGTATATATTTTTCAGTTATAGTTTTATATTTCTATTATATTTTGTAATATTCTTATCTGTGATAAGATTGTACTTGTACACTGTAATCTTTTTTTAACTATATTTCCCAATGCTGCCGTGTGTAACTTGAATTTCTCCTAATGGGGATTAATAAAGGTATATCTTATCTTATCTTATCTTATACACTAATGAAAACATACATATTATATTCCATTTCTGCTAAGTTAAAAGTACATTCAAATTCAATTTTCAAAATTCAATTTTGATTTTATGATTTGAAGGAAATGGTGAAATAATGAATACAATATTTGCCACTTAATGCATTTTTTGAGTCAAAATTCAGTCATCATTTTGAATGACGTCATTTTATTTTATTTTTCCTTTATTTTTGTAATTCCTAACATTGCAAGCACAATTGTATGTTCTTTCTTCCACTTTTATTGTGAATCTAAAGCTCCAATTTCCTCTCTCTCTCTCTCTCTCTCTCTCTCTCTCTCTCTCTCTCTCTCTCTCTCTCTCCTTCTGTGTGTTTGTGTGGTGCCGTCTCCAGGCTCTGCTCTCCAGGCGCCTCCTCCTCCTCCTCCAAACATGGCGCCGGCCCGCAGCATTGCTGCTACCCCGACAGACGACGCAGAGAGGGACAGAAGGAGGAGAAGAAGAAGCGGGTAGCAGCCCACCCTGAACGCGTTTTAAAAACTCTTTAAAACTAAAACAACTTCACTTTTTTCAAGGTTTCCACCGGAGACTTTACGTGCCGCTTTTGGAGACGTTTTACGCGTCAGGCTGCGCGCGTAACGGAGAGCCCACCTGTCCGACGAAGGTAGATTTCACTCCGTTTGTTCTAGGATGTGAATCTCCCTGATTTATGTGAAGTAACGGAACAGACCGAGCAGACACACGGGTAACTCGGGGTCAGAACTGGCTCTGGTAAAAACATGTGCAGCCCTCTGAGGTGCAGGAACGCAGAGGCTGTAGAGGACTGAGTCTTTCCAGGGAAAAAACAACTTTTTCCGCTCTTCCACGCCGAGAGGATGGATGGAGAACATTTTGCGCTGTCAGGAGTTGAGAGGGAAAGAGAGAAGCTTCCACCAATTTACAACAGCTCCCCTCCTGCTGTAAGAAAACTGCATTTTCTCCTTATTTATTTTCCGACAGAGTGATTCATCGCTCCCCTTGTGTGCAGAAGATAGGCTATGTTTTCCTATGTCAGAGTGGAAAAACAGTACCCTATCACTCAATGAGCAACCTCTATTTATTGTCTTTATTTCAAATTTGAAAAATACTTGCACTAGTTGAAGTCATACAATAACAATATCAGTCTATATACTGGGGAGTATAAGCAATATAGTCCCACACAACATGACTCATTCAAATATATTTATTAATTCAAGGTATTATCAGTTGCAGAAATAGTGTTCAAAGGGCAACTTTATATTGATATAAAAACATAGAATAATAAATAAAGAACTGATTTTTTATAATCACAATTAATTTAAAAACATAATTGATTTAGGAAAACATTAATAATAAAACACAAGGAAAGCAATATAGTCCACCACTATCTGATTAAATTAGAAATGAATTATAGTTGTATGATTCCAGTAGCCATATGATGCTTATACTGTAATTAGAATTTAGACTTCTGTAATTAGTCTTTATTCCATTTAATTTTGCATTTATATAGAATTATTATTATAAAAAAACATGATACAAGCAACACATAATTAGGCAGTGGGGCTCTAACTACAGTTCACCATTATCTGCATGGCCATCTCCTTTTAATGTAAATGTGTAATGCCAAATGCTGACTCGAAATCATTCTATAATAACAGATTAATAACAGATTTAGCTAATAATCTTTTTATTTTTAATTTTATTTTTTGTCTTGCAGCCAGGTGATCGCACATACGATGCATGAAACCATGTATACATACATATATATAAATATATATATGTATGTATACATAACAGTTATATAAAATGTATGCCTCAATCATATACACTCACTCTCTCCACTAACATACAGCAAACTAAAAAGTTGTTTGGTCCTGTTGGAAAAAGTGATGCTCCTGTCTTTCATAATGACTCCTGACATCAGCTCTCCAGCAGTGTCTGATGATGTAATCATTGTGTTTTTAAATGCATAGCAGTTAGCTGAGCGTCAGACATTTTTTTTTGGTGTGTGTTTCAAATTTGGTTCTCAGTGTCACTTCAGAGCAGACTGGCGGTGTTGCAGGCTGGTCGGTTGATGTCATCTCCATTGTGTCAGGGAGCAGGAATGTGCAGATCAGATGGTTTTGACCAATAAACAGTCTGTCATTGCTCAGACCGACTCCGGTTGTGTCTGGAAATGCCATAAAGTGGCTGCATGCGCTCTCACTCTGCGGCTCCTTTCTCTGGGGCTTCAGTCAGACTGATTCTTCGAGTCCTCCTCAGAAAGATTCTGGCCCCTTGAGCTTAAATCTGAGGAAATTCAGGCTCAAAGGTTGGATAAAAAAGGTCTTCGTTACACTGGGCTGCCATTGCATTGCAGACCAATAAAAATAAGAGAATTGAAGACAGCTGGTGCTCACTCAACAAGACGGATAGTTTTCACCTGAAGAGAAATTTACCCAGAGCTGCTGTTTCTGGAGGCTGTCTAAGGATCTCCGAATATCTCATGAACCTGATTTAGTAACGAGATTTTATCCAGACCTCCATTAGTGTGACGAAATGATGGTCTGGTTATATTAGATTCATTTAAATAAGACTTAGGCTCAACAGAAAAGTAATGTATGGATTTATGGCAAACCTTCTCCAGGTCTGGTAACTGAGTGTAAGCGCGTTTCTTTTTTCCATCACTGTAAATTGAACATTCTTCTCACATACAGTAGGTAAAGTTACACATTACACATAACCCATACACATCAATACGTTCTGGTGCAACAGGTGTCTCAGTGAGTCTCCAAAACAGCTTCCTTGTCACAGATTCTCCAAGTCTATAGTCCACTACTGAAGAGATTTTGATGATGGTGGTATGCACAGTGTGAGTTTGATCTGTCGCAGACCAAAGTTGACAAGTTGTCAGCGAGACATGTAGTGAATCTGTAATTGCAGCATGTTGATGGATTTACTCTGGCTCTTCCTTTACTTCTCACCCATCTATAGGTACCTGGTGTATATCCATCAGTATTCACCTTGATACAGTAGCCTTAAGCCAATTTGTAGTTTTTTGTTGTTTTTTTTGACTGATAACTGAATAAATTCTGCAGCCTGATCAGTCTAATCTGTAAACCCCTGAAATTAAACAGAATAACCATATTTTCCCAAATAAAACATGAGAGGGATTTAATGTGATGCTTCCACATAGTCTACTATCTTAAGATCAGATCGTCTTTGACAAACTTAGTTCTCAGTCTGAATCCCTGATCCTCCCTGCCTGATTGGTATTGATCAGAATCATTCATCCAGATAATTCAACCCAATTTAAATTAAATTAAGCACTGAGAGAACCCTCTGAGATTTAAATGCTTAGCAAGTCTCTGAGCAAGTCAGCAGAACTAAAAAACCTCTTGGAGGGAGGGATAATCAGTCCCTCCAGGAATTCGAAGGCTTTATTTGTATTAGCATTTTTTGCAATTAAATTGCGAGGGAAAGGGAATTTTTTTATCTAATTCATTTAAAATTGAAGTCAACTTCAGTGAGAATAAAATTGCAGCGTTTGGAGGCTAATTGTGAGACGTTTGCATCACGTGTGCATCTTCACACATCTGGATAATGCTCGATGGAGCGTCCATTATGTGTGGCTCAGAGGAAGAGCGGGTCGTCCACTTATCGGAAGGTTGTTGGTTCCATCCCCGGCTCCTCCCGCCACATGTCGAAGTATCTTTGAGCAAGATACTGAACCCCGAATTGCTCCCGATGCCGTGCATTGGTGTGTGAATGTGTATGAATGAGTTAGTTTCTGTTTGATGGGCTTTGCCATCACTGAGTGAAAGTATGAAAGGGTGAATATGGCTGTAGTGTGGTTGGAAGACTAGAAAGGCGTTATACAAGTACAGGTCCATTTACCATTATCATTATCCACTACCAAGGGGGAAAAAAATTAACACCATTCATTTATGTTGTATTCAGTTAAGTTTCATTTTCAGCCCACACAGATGGTCTTCACGTCAGATCACTGCTCAAGAAAAAAAGCAGGTCTTTGTATGCAATCGCACAACCTCTAAAATTCACTCTGGGTTCAGTCTGAACACTCAGTACATATACAATTTCAATCTGGTGCAATGGTGGCCTCAATCTGTCACGACTGGTTGCCAGACTCACCCCAGACTTGCAGTGAAGAATCAGCTCGAGCCTACTTAGATCAATTCAGTGAGCCATCTCTGGTCCAAAGCTGTGCGTCGCTAACTAGAGCTGATTTCGACCAAAATCTGCACCAAACCAAACTAGATCTAGAGAAATATTCATGGGGCCACAAGAAAATTACATGGAGACTGTAAGGGGTGGAAGAAATAATGCTGCTTGGAAAAGCCCCCAAATGAAAATATTTGAACTCAAAAACATTACATTATTGAGGCATATTATTAAAGCATTGAATAGAAATATCTAATGGTAGAAATTAATAACAATAAGAAAATAATAATAATCTAAATGAATGTGTTAAATATGACAGAATTTGACACCAAACTGGGGTGGCCATCCATTTTTTTCTAGATCTGTCCCTTACCCTAACTCTGTCAAATCTCAGCTGTCAGAGTGCGTGTTGGTAAAGGATAATTGCCGTAGATTGAACACACGTTTGCCCCATTTTTAAAATACTGCTGGGCTGTAAATAAAAGAAAAAATTATATTAAAAGAAAACTAAAATGTTTAATTATAAAATAATAAGATTAAGAAACCTTTGGACATCAGAGAGAGTAAAATCATGAGGAAATTGACCAAAGTAGACCATCCAGCTTTATAAAAAAGCAACATTTCTACCAACACACATGCTCAACAATCTACAGGGTCTGATTAGAGATTAACAGCTGAGAGAGAGAGAGGGGAGGGTGTGTGAGAAAGCGAGAGTCAGATGTGGAGCTCCTCTTGGTGTGGTTTCTCTCTGGATGACAGCATTTCCTCTCAGACTGAAGGACTGAGCAGAGTTGGACCGAACTGACATCACAAAACTCACTGAGATAAAAACGGCTGATAAAACTGTTAATTAATGTCAGATGTGAACCAGGACGCAGTCTGTGTTCATTTCGTCAAGGAAACCTACGAGAAATACCTATTGACGACCATGAAAACCAAACTATAACTGATTTGGATGTTGTCTCCGTGTTTGTTGCTCAGTGACTGTCACCGTGGTTTCTCTGCTCCACGTTTCCCAGAGATCACCTGTCAATCAGCCGGTGTGGGTGGGACTGTGACGTTGATAATGAAAGAGAGAGGAGAGAGAAGAGAGTGGTGTGGCTGCTCTGTGGCTTCACTGAGAAAGGAGTGTAATTACAGACACATCGCTTATAGGTGGAAGGATGCAGCAAACCAACGTCAGACGACTAAAGGTCTGCAGCCGTGCTAACAGCCCTGTGACGCTCTACTCTGGCACAGTGGTTTGAGCTACATGCTAAATGTCAGCGTGCTCAGAATTACAGTGTCAACATGCAGATGTTAAGCTGTGATATTGTTTACCATGTTCAACATCTTAGTGTGTTAGATAATTAGCACTAAACACAAAGTACAGCTGAAACTGAGAAGAATGTCTTTTGTTTTGCAGATATTTGACCATTGAACAAAGTATTTGGAAAAAAACAAAGATCTGATGATGGAGCTAGATTCCCGGAGGATTCATCCTGAGGGGAACATTAATATCTGTGCAGAATATCAAGGCAATCCATCTAGTTATTGTGCAGACATTAATCCGCATGGTGGTGCTAGAAGAAAACTCTGGAGGTCAGCAAAGTCAGTTGGATTCATCCTCTGGGGATCATGAATGTTTGCAAAAAATGTAATGGTAATCCATCAAATCACACCCTCTCCGCCACTCCTGTCAGCTACTCCCATCAGGCAGCCGCTTCAGGAGCACCTCGGCCAAAAAGGGAACTTCCAAAACCTGTTTTCTTTCCCACTGCAATATCCATTTTAAACTACTACTACTTGCTCTTATTTATTTATGGAATCGTTTGTTTTATTGCAATTGTGTGCATCTTTTATGGGCTTATGTTTTTATGTTGTTTTTGAGCCCCTAGTGTAATAGTGATAGCTTAGGGATGCAAAAATACAAAAATGTGAAATTATCGGTTATCTTATCGGTATTGGCCATGAGGAGCAAGTAATTATATATTTTGCATCATGAATCTTATATTGGTTTGGATGGACATTCTCATCCCTACAGCCATGGCACTGATTCAGTTTTTCATTAAAGTAATAAGATGCTTAATGTGAATTTAGCTCATGATAAATGGAACACTGCAGTTCAGTTTGAGCTTGACAGTCATTAGATACACCCAGCCACTGGGGGAGCAGTTGTGACATCCAGATGAACTTGATGTAGATTTTGTGTAGATTTCACACGTTTGACTTCTCAAACCTGTTCGTATTCATGAATTCACTCTGTGCTTTCACGTGCAGATCAGTCAGTATTATCCAAATGTGTTTGATCCGATCTGAATGAAGCACCTGTTGTAGCTCATTAATGTCTGCAAAGACACAAGATCAGAGGTAGCAGAAAAACACCCATCCTTTATGTAGTACAGGCTCTAAAAATGTACTCATAGTATAAAGGTAAAAATACTCTCTTGGTTTCTCTGAAGGACATATATACCGACTGACACTTGAGATACTGTCAGATATTTGTGCAAAAAAGGAAGTTAAGTAAAAAGAAAAAGAAAATTAAAGTACCTGAGATCTCTGTGCAGGATGAATATGCATGCGTTTGTGTGCTGTATGTCTGTTTGTGTGTGTACTTGTGTTGTGTCATAAGTCCTCTGAAAACACAACCTGTCACTAACTGTCTGAGGTTGTTGCTTCGGATACAAACGGTCCTTTGTTTGTTCTCTCTGTGTTGGTGTGCACAAGAGAGAAAATGATTTAATGACATGGAAACAGTATAAATTGTATGTGTGTGTGTGTGTGTGTATGTGTGTGTGTGCGCGCACTGATGCCAAGACTTGTTCAGATTTTTCCTCGGGGTCTCATTTCTTTGGAAACGGATTCATTTTGAACGGCAGATTAACCGTCTTCCTGTTCCTTCTGTTCTGCAGCCCCTGAACACATCGCTGAGTGTGTGTGTGTGTGTGTGTGTGTGTGTGTGTGTGTGTGTGTGTGTGTGTGTTTGTGTGTTTGCTGCTGTCAGGAGCGGCTGCTGTGCATCTGTTGATCTCTCCACCTCTCATCCCTCCCCCTCCTCTCTTCCTCCCGTATGCTCTCTCTTCTCCATCCATTCTTTAATTCCTTCCCCCACTTCCTGTCCTCTTTTTCATATCCTTCTTCTGTCCTTCATATCTTCCCCCTTTTATTCATCATCTTTATTTTATCCTCCATCCTATCTGCATCAATTTCCTTTCTTCTCTGTCTTATTCCTCTTTTCCTGCTCTCCTCCACTCCTTTCATCCTCTTATTCTCATTTTTTTGTCTCTCATTCACTGTAATGGGCTATGTTATTTTAACAAAAAAAAAAAAAGGGTTGAAACGGATTACAATACAAATAAAAATGACAGAATTCAGTCAGTCACTTAGAATTACTAAGCTACCTGGGCAATAATGTTTTCTTAACTTACGTAAATGAGTTCATTTTACTTGAAATGTTCAATGTAATCAGTTTCAACAAGCTAAGTTTAATTAGTTAATTAATTAATAATTAAGTTATTTTAAATCAAAAATACTTGCGAAACAGATTACATCAACAATTTTAAGTAACACTAACTCAACTTTCAAAGTTAAAAAAGATTCTTGATTAAGCAGCTTTTAGTATTGATTTTAAGTGACTGTAAAATTCCTGATTAAGTACTTTTTTTTGTTTTACTGTACACCTAAAAATGATCAAGTCAGTGTCACTTCAAATTGCTTAAACTTCTTGATCAAAAATGCTTTTTTACTTCCAAAATTAAGTTAGTTTCAACTTTTTTTTTGTTAAATTGACTTATCTGGTTTTACAGTGTTCCTCCTTCATTCTTTCCCTCTGTTAATCACTATCTCTTTTTCTTATCTCTTTTCTTTTGTCCTCATATCCCCTTTCCTTGTCTCACCTCCCTCTCCCCTTCTTTTTGTCTTGTAAGTTCCATTTTCTCCTCCCTCCTCTAAATCCCTCCTTCCTCTCCCCTTCATGTCTTCCCCGCTTGCACTTGTGGCTCTACTGCAGCTCTCAGAGACCCAAAACCTGTCTGAAATACCAGCAAGAGTAGAGAGTGATTCATCACAGTGAATCTTTAGTAAATGTTATGTTAGATCAGTTTTGGTTATTCTGTCATTGTCTGTTCACGCAGCTGAATATCTGGATTGGTTTAAGAAGTTCCTGTTCTGGTGAGAAAACATCAACATGTGAAAATGCAGAGAGCCAGTTCAGTGGATTTATTAGTAAACTGTGTCGGTCGCTGTGAGCTACTTGGTGTTTTTCAGTGTAAAAAAAAGAATTTCTCTTAATTTATTAATACTGTTAGCTTATCACAGATTGGTTAGCCAAAATCAATTGTAGTGCAGTAAATTGGTGCACATTTTAAAAGCTGCATTTATATTTTCTATATTTTTCTTCATTCAGGTTTAAAAAATGTAACTTATTTGTTCTGTTATTAGTTTTCTTTATCAAAATGTTATTGTCAGTCAAGTTTAGCGTTAAAAATGTGATTGTTACTGTCATCTTTGATAATGAAGTTACAATTACTGCAGAACAATGTACCTTGGTATTCATTATTGTTATATTTAATTACATTTTGTGTATCACGGCTATCATTTTGCTTCGTCTGTCAAAGCACTTAAATTCTGTTTTTAAATGGTGCTAAATAAATAAAGTTATTATATAACAACAACAACAATAACAACAATAACAACAACAACAACCAATAATAATAATAATCATAATAATAATAATAATAATAAAATGTTGTGCTGAAAATATCAACCTGTAAAGTTCTTCAAACTACGTATATGAAATGGTCCTCTACAAATAAATTTGAACTTAAACAACTCTTTACAAAACATATATTTTTAGGGCTCAACAAGGTTTGTCTATATGAGTAAAAAGTATGTTAAAAAATAAGCCTCTTTATAGAGATATTTCTTATACCAGTGGTATTGTGTACTTGAACTTTTTTGTTTCCTTTACTCACATTATACTTTTAAAAAATTCATTTTTAGTTTTTTGTGTTTTAGCAATTTATAACTCACTTTTGTTCTGCCACTGTGTTTGCAGATAAACTGTTGAATAAACTCTTCTTTTCTGGACAGAATATCAGCCAAACAGAATACATTTTTTGTGATAAAATTGTGTTTTTATTTTAATACACACATGAAACAATAAACACAAACACAAAAAAGATATTAGTATTAGGTGTGTGAGTGTATGTGAAGGTGGTCGCACTTGTCTTGAACAAACATAATTTTTTCTTATGTGTTCCTTGTGGTGATGATGTCATCTTCCTGCGCCAGGGTTTTGGGCGAGGAGCTAAGCAGCCGTTTCCGTCTCTGGGCACTTTTATCTCCACACTGAGCCAGCGGAGGGACACAGGGGGGCGGGGTTTGGCTGGCGGCATGACGGGCACCCTGACCAGCACCCAGTGGTTCAGACATGGTGAGTTAAGTTAAGTTCATTAGATCCCCATTTGCTACAGGACTGCAGCAGCTATTCTTGTTAGCATCCACAAAAAGCTTTACATTGTAAAAATGCACCATAACAGTTTACATCATGACACATGACATTACAAAATCAACAAGCTCCTGACAATGAAAAATATATGATATCATAATTATAAGCAGCAGAGTAGTTAATTAATAGTAAAAAAATCCAGCATATTAATAATGATGTTGCTTCAATGCTTTAAAGCCTAGTGTGTAACATCAGGAGGATCTGTTGTCAGAAATTAATTATATTCATTGTTGTTTTCATTACTGTATAATCAGCTGAAAATAAGAATCTTTATATATTATATAAAGTGGCAGGGTCCGCCTCGCTTCCAATTCCTAGTGGCTGACTGTGGTACTGCAAAAAAGTAATTCCTGCATCATGTAAAGCCTTTGCCTGATAGACCACCAAAACACAAGGTAAAATATTCTGGCATGTTTTCAGTCCTTCCATACACAAAATAATAGGAAGAATATTTCAGTGAGACTGCACCTTTAAAGGTCCAGTGTATAGCATTGAGGAGGCTCTATTGGCATAAATGGACTATATTATTGATAGGTATATTATCATATATATTTCATATATTTTGTATAATAATAAACTGAAAATAAGAATTGTCCATGTTTTTGTTACCTTAGAATGAGACGCTTTTATCTACAGACGGAGTGGGTCCTCTTCTATAGAGTACGCAATGTTGAACCGCCATGTTTCTACAGTAGCCAAAATGAACAAACAAAACACTAGCTCTAGATAGCTTAGTCTAGTTTTGTGGCCAAATTAGTTTCTCCTATAGGCCTTAGGAGGCTGAGCTGTATTCAGGTAATTGCAATTTGCAACTTCACTGCTAGATGCCACCAAATCCTTCACACTGGTCCCCATATGGAGTATTTGACCGTATAAATGTAGCTCTGTTTCTCTTCAGTTTGACTTCAGCATCCCCAGACCAAAAATTCAGACGGACCTCACAGCCACAAGACACATCAACACAATCCAACTCACATTTGTATGTTAAACTCTGCTAATTGACTAGAAGGTAAACCTCAAAAATAAACCTAAAATTTTAAATTGAGTTTTACTGTTATCTTGTGTGATATGTTTGGGGAGTAAATTCCATTCATGCATGTGTCAGTACATTGCCGTCCGTTTGATTGCATTAGTACTTGTTTTTGGTAATATAAACTTTCCTCCTATAGTGTGTCGGGCAGAATAGTCGTGTCTTTCTAAACTGAACAATACATTCTTGTAAATTGAGTCTTCGTAACAGAGATATTTCTGATGATAACAAATAACGAAAAGAGTGGTTCGGTATTCTGGGATGAAGTGGGTGACATCATCATTTCAACAAACAGAGCAGTTAAGCCTGATGCACTGGCAGGTCACATTTTGGAGGGATATTGTTAAAAGTAATTCAACTCAGTTCCATTTTCCCTTTACTGTCGGTTCCCAGAAGCAGATAGAAAAAGTGTTTACAAGACAAAACAGATGCACTTTTCTTCCTCTAATTTTCAGGGTGCTCTGCCTTTAAAAAGAAAGTTCATTGTTTTATTTTAACCAAAACCAGATTTAGGGGGAAAAAATCTGGCACTCTAGTGGCAAAAAAGAGGTTAAAAACTCAACTCATTTGCAAGTAATGGACTGACTTTTATTCGTTTAGCTCTTGGTCTTGTGGATCTTCTTGTACGTGTAAAGGTGCAACAGTTTTTCTCACTGACGGCTGTCCAGATGATATGTCGTGTAAAAAAGAAAACTAATTATTGTCACACGTGCTTTGATGAACGCTTTAAACATTAATGAAAAGGCACTTTTGATTTTTTTCATCCCGCCATTATGCACATAATTGAAGAAATCATAATGCAAATAACAGTGTAACTGATGGATCTGTAATGTGGTCACTGAATTCAGGAACAGTAATGCGTTACATTACTGCATTACAGACAAATGTAATGTGATTACAGTAACACCCAACACTGGTTATTAGTAGGCTAGAAGTAAATAAATGTCCTCATTTGTCAGCAAGAAGATGTTTGTGTGTGTTCTGTTAAGAAAAATGCTTCAGGTATAAAAAAAATAATGAAATCCCTGCTTATGAGACAGATTCATTTGGTTTATGTCTTTTCCTTCAAATGAATCTGGTACCCTAAGTTTTTAAGTAAATCAAAAGTGTAGAAATCTCTTGGAGTTAAAACAGAGATGTGGATAATTTTATTTTATTTATGGATTTTTGTAGTTTAGCTATAATGAAGCAGTAATAGTAAGACCGATGGGCTCATGGGGCCTAGGTGTATGCTCGATGTATGCATTGAGTGCCCCTAGTGCTCAGCTAATGCTTTAATAATAATAAAATATTTTTCTGAAATGATTTTAAGTGAGAGATAGATAACGCAGTAACAGAATCTGGATTCATATCTGATCTGACTGTCTAATTTGACAGTTTGATCTGAGTTTGGTGCGTTGAGCTGGACGGACTCACTGAGAATGACCTGTCAATCACAAGGTAGCCACACCCTAAAGCATACCCTGCTTTATTGTCTATTTTACTCTAAATGGGACCATCATTTACTAAATGAACATCATGCTGTATGGAAGAAGACTGAAACTAGAGATTGAGACCATAAACCCATTAGGAAACTGTTTACTGAGCTCATAAATCAAGTCAAAAGTCTGCTCATTTCCCCATAAGACTCAATGCTATCAGACTTCTTTTTTGTAGCCAATTTTAGCTGACCCTGCTGACCAGAGACACTTTGCTTTGGCTTCACTTCACAGACTTGGAAGTTGTCCACTATATATACCGTCAATATTCTCCGATGACATCATTCAGCAAGGGCACTGTGACTGCATCCTGGGCTTAGTACCACCTTTTTCTTGCTTTCAAGAAATACAGACAAGGCAGAGCGTTTTTCCCCCTATACCAGAATGATAATGGTTCGAGTGTGACCTTTCTCCAGCGCTGACACAGCACTTATGAAGTGTGAAGATAGGTCAGGCTATACGAGACTACACTACAACAAATCAGCAGATTTGTCTAACATTAGTTGCAAATAAAACAAGTAAAATTATTCAAATATGAGGTGACTTTTGAAAGAAAGCTATTCTTATAACCTCTGGCAGTGACGCCTTTTCTTTCTAAATCTGTATTTGCATGTATGTGTACAGTAGACCGTGCAGCATATTTATACGATACGGCATACTACATGCACTTTTGACTTCAAGTTGTGCAACAAGCTAGTCAGTACTTTCTCAAATCCTCGTAAATCCCTTTATTTGCCTCCATATAAGTTCATTCCAAAGCAAATGTTAGTAAAGCAGCTGTGTGTCACAAAACTGCAGTTTGAATGTCATTGTGGTGTGTTCACTGTCTTTGTTCCCTGAGACACCGTGGTCTCTGTCTCTGTCTTGGATGTAATGATGTGTTACTTCCTCTGTTTACAGTATGCTTGATGTATGTACTCAGTCTCTGTTTATGTTGAGCTGCTAGCAACGACATCGGACTGGAGCAGCAACCCTTGTCTCCAAAATGGAAGGTTTTTTTTCAAAAGAAAGAGAAAGAATAGAGAGAGAAGAAGAAGAAAAGCTGTTCATGTTTTCCAGTTGACGACTGTGTATTTAAAAAATCTCGTAGTGTGCAGAAAATCATAGGATCACACTTCTAAATAGATAGTTACAGTCTTTTTTATTGGGCGATTCAGGTCTCAGCTGACTCACAGTTTTTAGCCTCTTTTCTCAATTTCCCCCATTTTCTCCCATTTCCCCTTCATGGTTCATGGTCAGTGATCAGAAATTTCAGATTCTTTGTTTGTATCTGTTTGGATATTTGACCTGCTCATTATTTTTCATGAAAATGAAAGTTATCTTGAGTTCAGTTTCACAGAATTCTCAGAAAATAAAGCGTTGGAGAAGGAAATTTAATGAAATCAGCTTTGAAACTGTCGCTGTGACAGAGAAAAGAGATTAAAAAAAGAAAAATCAAGATGATAAACTTGTCATGAGATTCTTGACGGGAGCGATTTGACATTAAAGGGAATGTTGCTTCCTGTTAAGGGCGAGGTTATTCCCGACTGCCGTGAGAACGCAGACCCAGCGGAGTGCTCACCAGCCCGTTTTGTCACCACGGCTACTGATGCCAGAATAATTATGCAAACCTCCACCCCAAATGAAAACCATATGAAAGTGAAAACACTCAACACACACACACACACACACACACACACACACACACACACACACGTAAGATAGTGTAGCATTCCACGGGCCCGTTACACTCATCCAGCCTGCTGGATAATCACCAAAATTTGCTACTTCATCTGTAAAGTATTACAGGAGGTTTGTATTTCCTTTTAATATTGTCAAATATGGTTTTGTGTGCCGCGGTTGAGCTGAGCAGAGATCCGTCTGAGTTTCATTTCAGGATCAGAAAACAATAACACCTTTTCTAGAAACACTGGCATTAGAGTCCAGCATGTTGTGGAAAAAGATTACAAACTTTATTGATTTCAGCTGGAAACTGGGGCACTGCAGCAGGATATAGTGACTGGATACAGTGGAGGAAGTAGCAGAATTGGCTTGTATGAAAATCATATGTTTACTCTTGTTCCTAAAGTTTCTGTCACATGTGAAGGTCATGTACTGCCATGCCACTGGTTTGGTTCTCCTATAAACATGTCTTCCTCAATGCTCAAAGAAAATATTTATACATTTGAGGTTTGTAGAATGAATTGTGGGATTTGTGACATTATTAATTAGAGACCAAACTTACTAAGTGACTTAAGGGCTTTACACTAAAACAATTTAATGAATGATAATAATAAGAAAATAATAAAGCAATAATATAGTCACCTTTGACTGAAATGGGCTAGTAGTCACTGCTATTGGCAATTCTGAGCTTTTCCATATGAGTACCCTTACTTCTCATTGCGTACTGCCACCTGTGAGTCTAGGTCTAGTCTTAA